TTCCTCTTCGAAAAGTTCCCCGCAGGACGTTTGCAAAAATAGCCATGGCTCTCTCAACAAAGGTATTCATTCGCTGTGCTTGGATGAATGGCGGTGTTTAGTGCAGGAATCATGACTTCTACCTTTGTCATTGATAGGTTTCCTCTGCCGGACGGTTGGCGATTCGCTCTCGGGTCGCTATTGGTGGGTAAGTACAATACTTGCCCTGTTTACTCATTTCGCGAGATACATTACATGTAGTACCACCTACACACGCACGGACACCGATCATTGAACTCGAGCAGGAGGTTCAAACTAGGGATTTCAGGCGGTTTTTTCTGAGCAGCGCTTTGCTCCAACTAACAAGTTTTTCTGAAGCATCTATGTGTAAGGACTGTCTACAGAAAATTTGAACGGAATCCAAGCAGTATTTCCAAAGTTATGAGCATTCAAACATAGCGCACCAACCTTGATGAACACACATACAAATTGGATCTGCAGGATGGCACAAAATGGAATTCCCATACTCCCTAGCAACACCATAGCAACAAATAAACTTCATCCGATCGTGGCCAAACTTGGATCAAGGATGGCCCTGGCTGTGACGGAACAGAAGATAAAAGTTTTTTTTCAAAATTCCAAATGACCGCAACAATGGCGTCCTTAGCAACGGCCCTAGCAACAGTATATTTCACGCATAATTCAACATGGTAATAGGTGGAATATGACAGAAATATGGCAAACGCAACATTTAAGTTATATAGTATGCATGTGGGAAACTAGAGGAGCAGACAGCAAGCTCTGATGTCACACAGTGCCCGTTTTCGGCTGCAACGAGTCAGAGACGCACATTAGCCGCACAACGACCGTACTAGAGGCTATTGAGTATTGTACACAGAAGCCAGCCAGCGGCGAGTATTTATAAGAGATAAGTTCAGTAAAAAACAGCCTGGAACAACCACGCACCTGTATGACACATGGAAGATCAAGTCTGGTGCCACACACAGGGTCAAGACCTGCTATGCCGGGTGCGGGCTCCAAAGCGCCATCATTTGCTGCGCCGGCATCAACATCAACTGTTGCTTCAGCACTGACATCAACGGCTGGTCCAGCATGGACATGAACTGTTGGAAATGTCCACACCTCAGCACGTACGACTGCTCAGGTGTGGAAATTTGATAACACTGATATAATTTTCCAAACTTATACAATTCATGCAATTTGCAATCCCTGCAGCCTACAATTTTCCTTGCAGTTCAATGTTTCTTTCTTGGACAAGAATCAGACACAATATCCGATTTTTCGTTCAGTGTGTGGTTATCTGCTTTACAATTTGATTGAGAGGCAGTTCAAAAGGATGACTTAGTAATTCACTGAGGTCGTCACTTGCCTTGTTCTTCAGCAAATTTTTTCTCCACTCTCTGATACGCCCGATTTTGTTCCTGGCAATTTTCACATCGTCTCGAAATCCTTTCCATCCACGACTGCAACTAGCAAAATCAAATTATGCTAACTCTACTTGGTATCATTTTTGCTTCTCGCCCTCAACGAGAGTTCAACTACTACTAGGCCATTCCTCAACTGCCTGGGACAACACCATGAACACAGAGGAAGACGGAAGTTAATCGTCTTTCTGCTCCACCTCCATACTGTGTCATGGCGTTCAACTTCAAAACAATTTCCGCGACCGAGCGCAACCCTTCATGCCGTCTGAAGGAACCTACCTAGACTAAATCGATGCCGTAAAATCTGATTCTGACTGCCGCTTGAGCGTGGAACCAAGGCAAACACCTCAAAAGCGACTTTGAAATCTACAAGAATCTATCGAGATGCGTAATATCGGCACGAATTCGCCGTGTGAGGCACCAAACGAAAGCTTGAAACCTACTCTTCAACGGTGCGCCAATAAAAATAGCAATAAACTCACTTTCCCTACCTAAAATCTACGCCGAAGACCCCGCGCTGAGCTGTGCCATGCCTGGCATTCAAAAAGCATGCATGCGTGTCAAGGTACTTTTGCCCCCGCAGATCACGTGACTGAAATCCCTATTCAAACTGGATGGCTGTGCTTGCTGCGCGCCTCCAGTCCGCCCCGTCATGAAGCAGATGCTGTGCTCAAAGTTAGAGCCTTGCACATCACCATACAGTCAGCCTTCTACCAAAGGTTGCCAATAGTATTTTCAAAACGAAAAGTTTTCGTTTGGGGGGGTGGGTGGGTTTGAAGGAGTTTCGTTTTCAAAAGAATTATTGAATGCAGATGGAGAATGCCCAGTTACTTCTGGGTTTCGAAAATTAACATCAATATTTTATTGGAATTCGTTTTACCTGCAGAAAAGGTAGGTGGGTGGGTGCTGAAAATACTAAAACTTTTCGTTCTGCAAAAACTATTGGTAACCCCGGACGGCCCCTTAGATGATGAATGAGAATATGAATCATTTTCAAATTGTTGGCGTTGCAGTACAATTGTTAGCTTCAGTTACATACACAGAACAACAATGGCAATCAAAGCTAGTTAGTCGCTACTCTGAGTTTCATGCTTACTCAATCAGCTTCAGTAGCTTTAGTTACATCTGTTTATTTGTACTCCACTTTGCGTCAACAACAGTGTACTGTAAAGTCTTGTATAAAAGCAGCGGCTTCTATGACTTTCTTGGTGAAATTTTGCAGGCTTCTATAAAAGACAGGTATTTCTATGTATATCAACACTAAAACCAGGCTTATGTGTGATTTGATGGGCCCAAAATTGCGGCTTCTATTCGAGAGCTGCTTCTATTCAAGTGCGGCTTTTATACAAGACTTTACCGTAGGCATTTTGAGGCATTTTGACTATGCAGTACCTATGACGGCCATTGCTGGTGTGGTAATCGGACTAGATAAATACACGAGCTACGCACCTCCTGTGTTCAGAGTGCGCACTGTATTGTATCCCGAGGGTATGTGGGTCGGGAGACTATCCGAGTGATAGGAACCACGTTCGTGAAGATGTAACTTTCAGGCGCGTTGCTAATGTGTAGTCCGGTCATCGCGCCAGCAACTGGCCGCCGTATGTACCACATAGTCAAAATAGGCGAAATGGCGACTATGGGGTTGCCGGTGGTACATGGTCAACACACCAGAGATGTGCGAGCTACGCCTCTTGACTTTACGGTATGTGATTTTTACCTAGAGCGTCACATTGCCCTGTTCTATTGCGGCATTCTAACGGTACACATGCTGCTTGAAGTCAACACCTTACTATAGGGTTCTCCCCGCAACTTACAGTTTGGAATAGAACGAGAGAGGATGCTACATTTGTGTCGGTTTTGTTTGAGCAGTATGGTGATGCAACCGCTGTTCGGAATCAGTATCGTCAAGAGTAGATAAACAAGAGTGTGCAACTCCGGATCTCTCCTGCACAATCTGCAGATACCCCCGCCCACGGCGGAGTTTTTTGTTGACGTCACCTTTTTTCAGAAGAACGCGCATTTTGCCGCAGAGCAGTGTTAGGGCACGTGCTGGGCACCGACTTTGTAGTGTAAAGCCGGCCAAGAGCACGAGGGAAAAAGACTCGCAGCGCGTGCGTCGTCGAAAAGATTACTTCAACAAAAAATTCCGCCACGGGCCTACCCATCCGCAAGTTGCACACTCTTGTTTATCTACTCTTGGTATCGTGTTGAGCTACAGTACTGTCGGGCGCCGAAGAACGGGGGGGTGTCAGGGTTTTAGCCTAGCCCGTTCTTATTTTTAGCGAACACAGCAGTTTCGTTCTTATTCTTAAATGTACATTTATGCGGAGTTATACGTCTGAGTGCACATTACAGTTTCCGTTCTTATCGGGAAAAAATCCAGCCTACACCGTTCTTAAAAATTGCTGAAATTCTAGCCTGGCCGTACTACGGGGTCCGTTCTTCGTCACCCGACGGTACTGTACTGCAGTTTGTTTGTTTGGCGATCTAAGACCGCCTGCTTCTTCTCAAGTGTTCAATGTTTGACCTCTCTCTTTCTTCCTCTGTGTGTGTGTGTGTGTCTCTCTCTCTCTCTCTCTCTCTCTCTCTCTCTCTCTCTCTCTCTTTCTCTCTGTATATATGATGGTGGATGGACCCCACAACCTGTTGCCGTCATGTTGTCTGATTCTGCAGTGTAAGGTAAGACACCCCGATAGAATGATGATTTCAAACCCAGAACTATACTCCCCTCCTCAATTCCTGTGGAATTTCAACGCCATATTAAAGGAAAACAGTTGCACTTTCATCAAGCACACATTCATACCTTGTTTATCCGGGCGGTCCGGGACCGGGCACTGCCCGTAATCCCGAATTACATACGTTTTGACGGGGAAAAGCCATGAGTATTGCATATGGCGTCATTATCTCCACCTAATATTTCCACTGGAACTCACCCAAAGAGTGCCCGATAGACCGAAGTGCCTGTAACTGCGGGGTCCGGATAACCGAGGTATGAGTGAGTGTGTTCGATTATGCACGCGAATCGATTCGCGCTATTCACATCACCCCATGTGAATAGAGTGAATGGATTCCGAATCGATTCCAGGGCTCATGACATGAAATCGAACGACTTGAATGCATGCGAATGGATTCATGAATCGATTCAAGTGTGTAGTCGAACGCACTCACTGTACTTGTGCTGCTGTTGTGGACTTTGAAATCCGGTGGACTGATCAGGGCCGGCGCCATTACTGCCTTAGCGCGTATATGCACTGTAGAAAATGGGCCAGCAGGGCTCACGGCTGCAGCCTGCAAAGCCAGCGCCTCGTGGCCCCTTAACTACTTGACGGATTTCAATGTCCACAACGCCAGTATCTCTTATTGATGATGGTGCCATCGTGAAAATAAAGAATTCAAACCAGTTTCATCCCAGTGAGGAGCGGCACAGTTTAGCACCAGCCCTGAATCTCACCTTCGGCATTCACACACCAGCAATTCACCTCCCTATCTACTAGTATATGTGCTCGGCGAGCCTGGTGGCTTTGTACGTGCAATAGCTGTTTTGTGTATGTGTGTTTTTACCTGTGTGTGTATGGACCTGTGTGTGCTTGTATGCTTGCTGACAGATGCCAGTCCGACTTTGGAGATGACAGCATGTACGGTGGCGGTCAGGGTGGTGGTGCACCCGCTGGCTACGGTGGTGAGCAGGGTGGCCGCGGAGGCTACGGCGGTGGCAGACAGCAGCCCGGATTCGGCGGCCAGCAGGGCGGTGGTTTCGGCGGCCAGCAGGGCGGTGGTTTCGGCGGCCAGCCGGGCGGTGGATTCGGAGGCCAGCAGGGCGGCGGATTCGGTGGCCCACCCGGTGGTTTCGGCGGTCGCGGTGGTGGTCGAGGTGGCGGATTTGGCGGCCCCCGTCAGCCGCGCGAGCCCATGCCGGAGGTGCCCCTACCCGAGGAGGGACCGTTCCGTCTCTTCTTGAGGAACTTGAACTATGACGCCACCGACCAGGACATGCGATCCTTCTTCGGTGACATTGAGGTTGGTTGGCTGGCCTCCGAGAATGACCGTGTGCATCTCTGACTCTCTCTCTCTCTCTCTCTCCGTCTCAGTGCTGACATGACGAGTTCTGACCTGACCGTATGGTTCATTACCCAGGCGCGTAGCCCGCATGGGGCATGTGCACAAACACACACACACACACACCTAAAAATCTCAACCTAGGTTGAGCATGCATGTATTGACCATGAGTGACATACACCAGCCATCCTACACATACATGTATGTGCCTGTGCATGCACCCCTGTTACCAAGAGTACATAACCAAGAGTGTGCAACTGCCTGCACAACCTCTATGCTGTGCTGCGACGGCAGAACTTCACATCACGTGACATGGTTCAAAAGGTTATGCTGGCAAACAGTGCAAAGTGACCACAAGAGAGTTGTACCCAAAGCTGGGCTGCGTACAACCCAGTATCTATCATGCACTAGAGTGCACGGGTTCAGCACGTGATGTGAAGTTCTGCCGTCGCAGACCCCATAGCTGGAGTTGCACACTCTTGGGTTATGTACTCTTGCTGTTACCCGTACCACCATGCAGTAAAACCTGTCAAGGCAGCGACCACTCGCATATAAGGTGACCACCTGCACCAGAAGACCACTACAGCCAGGACCAAGGGATGCTCTTTCCAGTCAAATTACCCTGGATAAGGAGACCACCTGGTAACAGAGACCACGTTTTGAAGGTCCCTTGAGCGGTCGTCTTAGACAGGTTTCACTGTACCGTGTACTGTCTTGCTCTCTGTTTCACCAGGTCGTCGACGTGCACCTGTGCCCCCCCCCCCCCCCCCCCCTGAAAGGGGGACCGGTACACCCCTGTTACCCCGCACCACCATGCTGTGTACTGTCTTGCTCTCTTGTGTCACCAGGTCGTCGACGTGCACCTGCCGAAGAACGAGTTTGGTCTGTCTCGTGGATTCGGTTTCGTTGAGGTGGCCACCCGGGAGGACGCACAGAAGTGTCTCGATGATCTCGATGGCAAGGTACGTGTCGTGGCAAGAGTAAATAAGAGTGTGCGACTCTGCATACAGGGTCTCTGACTGCGAAAACTCACATCCAGTACGATTTGTACTACGGACACCGAAGGCTAGTGTGTGTCCAATCCGAATACATGTATCTGCCATGATCATGCTGATGACTCGCATAAGCTGGGTGGGTTTCTGTCAGGGAATGCTGTTTTTCAACTCCACTGGTCGCTAAAACGTGCTGGGAACGTACAATGGGAATCCTACACCACGTGATGTGAGTTTTCGTCGGCGGCGGACCCCATAGAGAGGGTATCCAGCATTGCAGACTCTTGGTTACACATACCGTAAAGTCTTGTATAAAAGCCGCACTTGAATAGAAGCCGCCCATCATATCAAACATAAGCCTGATTTTAGTGTTGACATACATAGAAATACCTGTCTTGTATAGAAGCATGTGATTGTCTCATATAGAAGCCTGCGAAATTTCACCAAGAAAGTCATAGAAGCCGTGGCTTTTACACAAGACTTTACAGTACATGTACAATGTAGGTGTCTTTGTAGTTCTGCTTCACTTTCTCAGGGACTGCAATGGGCAGCATACAGGCTTTCCTAGAGGTTGCTATTTGAGCAGGTTTTACAGTGCACACGCGTGTGTGTGCTTGGCCTGGCCAGAATGACGATATCTCGTATCATGTGCTGTGCAGCCGGTGTATGCACTGTTGCTGCACCTTGGGCTTATAACCAGTCCAGGCGGAGTCGCATACTCGGAGGGGGGGGGGGGAGTACTCTTGGGTCGTTGCACTCTCCTGGACTTCACTGGACACGGTGTGTATGGTACATGTTATGTGACTGTGTGTGTGTTTGCTCTTTCACAGGACATGCTCGGTCGCAACATCCATGTTCGCGTGGCCGCAGCCAGGGCACAAACACGTGGTGGTGGTGGCGGCGGTGCACAAGGTGGTTTCTAAACAAACACCCCTCCTCAGTGCTTTGCAAACACAACCCGTCTTCCGTAATCGTGATCAGTAGTCTATCTCTGGGACTTTCTTTGCTTAGAAATCAGCAAAACTGGTGCACAAGAGGGCGTTGGTTTCTAGAGAAACCTCTCCCGTTGCTTTACAAACAACCAGTCACCTTCGATCGTGATCAATCTTCATTACTCCATCTCTGGGACTGTGTTTGCATAGAAAATAACCAGTTAACACCTTCAATGTAAATTATGGGCAACCATGTAGATAGTCACAACACCAGGCTGTTGATGCTTTCTTCGTCTTGTTCTGCCTGTTGCGTCCTCCAGCTTCTTGGTGTATGTGTAAAAAAAATGGAAAAAACAAGATGTTTTCTATCGTCGATTCAGCGATGGGCATGTCTGTCTGAGTGTCAGAGACTGTAAGGGGGGGGGGGGTCCTTTGAAAGATGGCGCGGCTGTTGAGCCACTCGGCAAACGACGACCGTGACTCTGTTCCCCGTGAATTCCGGGGCAAAGTATCAGAAATTCAGTGCTGAATTCTACGGCATGTTCTGCAAGTGATTCTACGTGACTATCATTCTCAGCTGCATAGCATTTCTGCATCCAGGGAAATGACTCAAATGAGCATGCCAAATTCAAAAGTACTTGAAATACTTTCCTAATTCCTGCAGTGTAAGAACCAGGGAGTACTAGTACAAGTTGTAGTAGGTACTTCAAGTTCAAGTATACAGTCAATTTCGCTTATAACGACACTCGGCGGGGCATCAGAAAAGTGTCCTTATTCGCGAAGTGTCGTTATACCCGAAGTCTCATTACATGTATACAGGTAGTATGGACTTTGCTCTGGGCATGGAAATTCTGTCGTTATTCGCGAATTGTCGTTATATCCGCGGTCGTTATAAGCGAAGTTGACTGTACCGGCCCATTACCGGGAATGCAACTCCTTGGCCCGGGAATACTGGTAATAGAGAGGTTCCGCATACTAGTAACGTAATTGCGTTTTTTTTTCAGACTCGATTAAACTCTCAAAATAGAAATGAAAAACGTAAAAATTAATGTTTGGCACCTATGAAGTCAGGGGATGGCCCACGCCTGGTAAAACTTACGTTAGTAAAAAACATAGTTGATCTTAGCATCTATGGAAAGTCTTTACGTAAACTCAAGAGTACATGGGTTTTCATGTACTCTTGGTAAACTGCATGCGCATCTGTGTTCCGCCATACGGAGTTTTCAAATCACATAGCTGCCCTTGGCAACTCCGAACGCGGCAGTGTACGACCAGATCGACCTGGGGATCGGTAGAGAGTCATAAATTTGTACCCCAATCCACTTACGGACCAGCAAAAAAAACTTACGGACCAGCTACGTTATCAGAGCCCTATCTACGTACTCTACGTAGACAACTTTCTGTAAGTGGAGTGCAAACTCGCGAATTCACGGGTTTTCCCCGCCCACTAACGTAAAGTTGCTCAACTTTACGTAGTGCGGAACCTCTCTATTATCAGGGCAACCCCAGGAACACGCCAGAGCTGGTATGCGGATGACTCGTCCGCGGGTGGCGCCGTGGCAGGCTCAGCAGTATCTGTCTGTGGTGGGACCGACTCGTCGGGGATGGGCCGGCGTTCGGGTATTTCATTAAGTTAACCCCAGCAAGTCCGTCCTCGTCGTCAAGCAGGACAAGCTAGAGGCAGCCGAGACCATCTTCGGCGGCACGGGTGTGTCTATCACCACTGACGGGTGCCGCCACCTTGGATCAGCCATCGGAACTGATCAGTTTGTGCAGGAGTTTGTGGCTTCCAAGGTGGCCGCCTGGTCGCAGGAGCTGTGCAAGCTGACAGATTTCGCCCGGTCACAGCCTCAAGCAGCTTACTCTGCACTGGTGAACAGCCTCCAACACCGGTGGTCCTTCCTGTGTCGGGTTCTCGATGGTGTTGCAGAACAGCTGGCACCCCTGGAGGACATCATCCACGGCGCCGCCTAATCCCTGCCATTAGTGGACGGACGGCGCCCAGTGAAGCTGAGTGCATTTTGTACACTTTCCCCTGCCGGCATGAAGGCCTCGGCGTGGCCAACCCTACCACTTTTGGCTCACAGTACGGCACCTCCAGGCTAATCACCACTGCCCTGTACGACAAGATCATGGCGCAAGAGGAGCACCTCGATGATGCTCTTGCCTGTGTCCGCAGGGCCAAGAGTCAGGCTCGCTCTGAGGCCAGAAAGGCAATGAAGATAGCTGCCGATACGTTCCGCACCGAGCACAGCGAACTCGATCTCGCTATCAGTCTGGCAGAGGAGAAGGGAGCATCAAGCTGGCTCACCGGCCGACCCATCGCTCGCCATGGCTTCGCTTTGTCGAAGGGGGAATTCCGGGATGGCCTCTGCCTCCATTACGGTTGGACGCCTTCTCGCCTGCCCACCACCTGTGTTTGCGAGAAGGCATTCACCACTGCTCACGCCTTGTCCTGTCCTTTCGGTGGGTTCCCCTCGATCCGCCACAACGAGGTGTGCGACATACTGGCATGCTCATTGAAGGGTGTCGCCCACAACGTCGCAGTGGAGCCACATCTCCAACCCCTGACTGGGGAGCAGTTTCAGCTCCGGTCCGCATCAACCGAGGATCAAGCTCGTTTGGATGTGGTGGCCAGTGGAGTTTGGGGGGGGGGGGGGGGTCGGTTCGAACGCACTTTTAACCGCACCTCCTCTCTCTCTGCCTGCTACCGGCACCACGAGCAAGAGAAACGGCGTCGATAAGATCGGAGAGTCCGAGAAGTGGAGCGATCCACTTTTCTCCCCTTTGTGCTCTCTTCCACCGGAGGATGCGGCAAGGGTGCCGCTGCACTGGTGAGCCGGAGTGCACATCTCCAGTCGCTACGTGGGAGGGAGGCGTATTCTGTGCTAATTGCCCACCTCCGCTGCAGGTTGTCTTTCTCCCTGCTGCGTTCGAGTGTCATGTGTCTGCGTGGGGCTCGCCGAGTTTGGCAGCCTCCAATGGATGGCTGTGCCTCCCTGGCTGTCGTGGAGGCTACGGTGTCCCGTTACGCCTTGGCCCGTGATTGTGCGGACTATGCTATGCTTCTCTTGCTCTCTGATCACATGTGACGTCATCATTATATGATTTGTTTTCAATCCTCCGCCGCCATCAGGCAAATTGTGTTTTGTTCGCCCGTAAAAGAAGCTTTAATTACTTCTAAAAAAACTAAAACAAAAAAATAACTCTCCAACTCCACTGCAGCGCTTTCCTTCCACTTGTACAACCTTTATTCCCCAAGTAGGCCCTCAGCTGCACTAAAAATGAATAAAGGGATTGACAATATTTCGCCCTTTGGGCATCATCAGGGCATGCTTGGTTTTAGTGTTGAAAGTTTCTTGCACTGATCCACTCCAGGATTGTAGGGAGAAATCAATGTCCAGTGCATTAACCCTAGTTCTATTCAGGGAGTAGTACAATTCTACTACTCCCTGGTTCTATTCTCAATCTCTCTTTTCTTCATGCCCGGCGTGAGCCATCCCCTGGATTAACAAAATGAGTGCTATAGTAAAAAAAATAACCCTAGTTCTCGTAGCATCAAGAGTACCCTGGGGGTTGTTATGTACTCTTGGTAGCATCTATAAACATGGCCATTGTAATTTGTTCAGAATATGGAGTTCAGAATATGGCTATGAGAATGTTTCAAGCCAATACCAAGACATTGGAAATAGTTTGATCGTATTCAGTGCTACGTGATAAACCATAAAATAAAAAATACATGTATTTGGAGATGAGGTAGAAAAGTACTGTCTGAGGAGGACGAGGATGAGGAAGGCACCGCCAACACAAACACAGCACAGCATTAGCCCGAGTACGGCATAGTTGTTACCATGGGCGCAGGCACCATGCGGGAACTGCTCTCAGGGTCAGCAAGGTGCTGCAGGTGCCGAACGGCAGACAGCAATAGTTTAAAAATAAGCCCATTACGCATTGCCAAAATTAATATGGATAGCATGAGTAAGGCATGTGATTACGCTGGGTCAGGGATGAACTGTTTGACACCACAGACGACCATGCCCAGGTGACCGTGTGGGGTGTTCGCGGTACAAAATTACGGCATTGCGCAATAGGCTGAATAGCTTGTGCCGTTTGGTGGCACGGCAAGGACACGGCAAACTTGAGCATGCTACCTGCCGTTGACTAAGTACACCGCGGAGCTTCATGCTGCGTTGTGTAATGAACCAGCGCCAGCACTGCACTGGTGACCACCAGAGAGTAGTAAAATACCTACTCCATGGTCACCACTGCCGCAGTTCTAGAATTCATAGCAGCGGGTCAAGATGAGTTTGCCTCTTCTTCTTTTCTACACACCAGTATACAAAGCGGCCCATCACAATCAGAGGCGTTACTAGGCTGGAACAAGCCGTCGCTGTACGCTGCACCAGTATCCATGATTGGGAGCAAGTACTAGCCGGGACTGTGGCCATGAGGTGTGTGATCTCCTTGGTTACGCATCACACGGAACGGCAACGTGGTAACAGCAAAGCCATATATAGGAGATTGGTCCATGCATAATATGGGCAGCTGTTGCCCAACTCTGTCCAGCTGGAAGGCCTTTGCGTTAAAGGGGAAGTTAAGGCAAAAATTAAAATTTCACCAGTTGTAGTCTTCGGGGTGCTGAGTCGAATGGTCTTGGTCCGAGGAAGCTGAGACGCTCCCTTCCTACTTGAAACCCAATCGAACTCGCGCACTTCCACCGAAACTGGGTGACTGCGCCCTACGAGATGGGGATTTGTATGCAAAATGTCACTAAAAGCGCCATTTCGTTCTTATAAAAGCACGGATGACCGCGATTGGCCCATATGTTGTAGTCTTTGGGACGCTGAGTCGACTGGTTTTGGTCCGAAAAGGCTGCGATGCAGCGTTCCTCCTTTATTCCCAATCGAACATGGTTGAACAAGCGGTCACGTGGTCCTGGGTGCCCAAATCACCTGGTCACCACGCCAGCAGGTGACAACTTTCACACCAAGGTTCAACTCGGGTTCAACTCGAGTGACAGGACTGCACCCAAAAAAGGTCAAACAGGCTAGTAAGTTGTACCCTGCAGGCACGGTGACCAGGTGACTGGTGTACGCAGGAGCACGTGACCGCTTGTTCAACCATGTTCGATTGGGAATAAAGGAGGAACGCCGCATCGCAGCCTTTTCGGACCAAAACCAGTCGACTCAGCGTCCCAAAGACTACAACATATGGTCCAATCGCGGTCATCCGTGCTTTTATAAGAACGAAATGGCGCTTTTAGTGACATTTTGCATACAAATCCCCATCTCGTAGGGCGCAGTCACCCAGTTTCGGTGGAAGTGCGCGAGTTCGATTGGGATTCAAGTAGGAAGGGAGCGTCTCAGCTTCCTCGGACCAAGACCATTCGACTCAGCACCCCGAAGACTACAACTGGTGAAATTTTAATTTTTGCCTTAACTTCCCCTTTAACTCTAAACTAAAGACGAGCTGACCGCTCCGGGTGCGATTCAGGGACGGGAAAGCGGAACTCGGACGTCTGCCAAACGGGCTCCTGGCCAGGCTGTATGGGCGACTGCATGGCCGTCTCCTTGAACAGCATTTGATTGTCATCAGTCACAACTATGATAGACTTGGCGCTGCAGAAAACACCAGAGAAGATGGGACGGTCCCTATTGGAAGACCTGCAAGAATGCGCCATCCGCCGCTAATTATGCGAACAGATGAATGAGCCTGTAGCGAAATACCATACCGTAAAAGTTCGTAAATAAGTACGTACCGTATTTCCCTGAATAGAAGTCGCACCTTTTTTACACTAAAATTCAAGGGTAAAAAGGGGGTGCGACTACAATCGAGCATGACTTCCTACTGAAATCAATATATCAAAACAATATGGCTCAAACCTGAAAATGGGGATGCGATTTTTAGTAGAGTGCGACTTACAGGTATAATGGGGGAAATACGGTAATACTTTTGAATATAGTGGCCACATCAGTACTAATAGTAGGCACTTCACCCCGTTTTTTGAAATCGCGTTTTTCCAGGTTTATCATCGGCAATCGATGGTGGTGGGTATCACAAGGTCACACAGAAAATTTTATTGAAATCCACAGTGATACCACTCAGATATGAAGGGTTGAAGATAGGCAGTTGGATGAGGCGAGATCAATACAATTTGTGGCACCAACAGCATCTCCGAAGTATCATCAGTGGATATAGTCACAAAACATCAGAGTGTTTTTTTCAAGCACACATCACTCACTTACACCGACAACCCTGTATGGATCGAAACAATACAGATCAAAGTTCAGAATAGGCAAGAATACGGCAATTGTGACCGCAATCACTATAGCAACTCCATAGCAACGCCATAGTAACCCATAGTAACAGCTTCAGTTTGCTGTGAAATGAACTGATAACGACATACTGGCAGGCTCCGGCGGGTACAAAAGCGTAAGAGTTATAAAGACATTCTTCTGGCACAAAAACAACAGAGAACTTCCTCGTTGTACGCCGCAATGTGGAGGGTATGTACGCGCGCGCCCGCGCTCGCGAATTACTGCACAGGATATTCGTGCTCACAGTCATGCCACTTCAAGTGATTCCAAGTTGGCAAGAAGTTCTTCAGGACCTCTGTTGGTAGCTTCTTTCCATGGTGTGATATCTGCCTCCCTATCCTTCAACTGCTCCATGCAGCAGTCATGAATTGCCTGCTGGAGAGCTTTGAAATTTTGGTGAAGCGTGCCTGGATGCGTATATCAAAGCATCCCCTCATCAGAGGGTTTCTCCAGCAGCCACTGTGCCTTTTGATTGTTCGTAAACATCAGTAGGCCTTCCAGCGCAACCGTGTCAAAACTTGGCTTTCAGTACGCTTTGAGAATTCGCCCAGGTAGGACGACGCATCGTCGTTCTCCTCCGCCTAAAGCGCATACTTCTCAGTGCCTACGTACATAATGTCTCCTTGCGCAGCGATGCGCAAACCCTGGTAAACAAGAACTCTACTGTTTCCGAATGGAAAGAAGACGCTGAAGACGATAAGCAACGTTTCAAACGCGAGCAAACAACAGTTCTTTGTGAAAAAACTCTTTGCTGGTAGTGCATGTACGTGATCTACAACTCGCAAAAATGTACGCACTATGACGTATGCGGGATCTACTGAAAGCTGAACGTCAGAGCAACACGATGCGCCCAACTATCAGCCCGTACAACGAAGCATAGCGCGTACCTGTACAGTTTAGCGCATGCACTTGACTGGTGCCACGCAAGTACGGACTCTCACCTCAGCAAATTTTGACAGGTCCTGTCACGTGACTGAAGTGCCTAGACTACTAACTTTGGTGGCTAGTGGTATTTGGGGAGGGCGGTTCGAGCGCACCTACATTGATGTCCGGGTGTTTAACCCTTTTGCGTCCTCGAATCGCCTCAACTCACTTGCTGCTAGCTACACCCGTCACGAAAAAGCCAAGCGCCGTGCCTATGAGCAGAGAATCCGAGAAGTGGAACACTCCAGCTTTGTTCCCGCCGTGTTCTCCACTACGGGAGGCATGGGGAAATCTGCCACCTCTCTGTACAAGAGGATAGCGTCCCTCATCGCCGACAAGACCGGAGAGGCCTACAGTGCCGTGATGGCTTCGATCCGGTGTCAAATCAGCTTTGCCTTGGTCCGATCCAGTGTGATGTGCCTGAGGGGTGCTAGGCGGCTCTATGCACCGGTCTTTGCCGCGGACTCAGCTGCTCTTGTTGTTGCCGAGGCGGCTATCCCCTGTTGAGGTTGATGGCCGTGCTCATTTATACCATGTTCTCATAATTTCTGCTTTTCGTGTCATTCTTGCTTCTTGTGTTTGTTTGTTCTCCTCTAGTTCTCTTATGTTCGCGGAGAAGGCGGAGAGCCGGAACACAGAACCTCTTATTTTTAATTTTTTTTAATTACTTACTTTTTTACCAGGCGTGGGCCATCCCCTGATCATAGGTGCCAAACATTTTTAGTATAATTACTCAATCAATAAATTTGTACAAGTTGTAAAAAATCATACATGTACATGTACATGTCTCTGGCCCTGTAGATGGCTCAAAAAGGCATATTTTTCAATTCAGACTACTAACTTTCGGGCAAGGTACTGACTTTCGCGCATGAACTAACGTTCGGACCTGACTTGTGTGTAGTGGAGAAGTCCTTTTTCATGTACAGTCAACTTTGCGTATAACGACACTCGGCCAGGCATTAGAAAGGTGTCCTTATTCGCGAAGTGTCGTTATACCCGAAGTCTCATTACAATGTATACAGGTAGAATGGACTTTGATCTGGGCATGAAACGCCTGTCGTTATTCGCGAATTGTCATTATATCCGCAGTCGTTATTCGCGAATTGTCATTATATCCGCAGTCGTTATTCGCGAATTGTCATTATATCCGCAGTCGTTATTAGCGAATTGTCATTATATCCGCAGTCGTTATTCGCGAATTGTCATTATATCCGCAGTCGTTTTTTTTTTTTTTTTTTTTAAACTTTGTTTTACTTCGCAAAATCCAAACGGGAATTTCTTCCCAATGACAAGGTAGCGAAGATCTTAAGAGGGAAGAAAAAAAAGACAGAGAGAGAGAGAAAAAAAGAAGGAAAGAAAAAAGTGTGTATGCACTGGAAATGATAGTCAGCTGGAAATCGGATCCATTGTCAAACATGGCATTTGCTACTGTTCCATGTAGTCAACGAGCAATTGCGTAGGGTACTGCTGCAGCTTTGAAGGTCTCCAGAGTTGTGCTGGAGCGGACGTCTCCAGGTAATCTGTTCCATTTACCTGTAGCGTTGAAGGCGTACCTCGACTTGCCAGCGTTTGTTCTTGCAACTGGAAGACTGTTATAGGCCTTATGCACATTGTACAGATGTACGAAGTTCTGTACTATGGCCGTAGGTGTGTACATACCCGGTTGGGTGTTCATTGTGTGCTATACATGCGCGTTTGACCCATTTAGCCTCACAATTCATGGCAAACGATCACTTTTCAAGCCTTCTTCACTTTGGGATTGAACTAACGACTAGCTAGATCTCTGCCGGAAAAAGATTTCGTATGAAATGCCTTCATGGCCCATTTCATAGTGGAAATAGCAGTAAACACAATAGGGTCCTGCACATTCAACACCCAACCGGGTCTACGGGATTCTACAAGATTATACGGGATTTCGTGCATCTGTACAATGTGCATAAGGCCTATTCGCGAATTGTCATTATATCCGCAGTCGTTATTAGCGAATTGTCATTATATCCGCAGTCGTTATTCGCGAATTGTCATTATATCCGCAGTCGTTATTAGCGAATTGTCATTATATCCGCAGTCGTTATTAGCGAATTGTCATTATATCCGCAGTCGTTATTAGCGAATTGTCATTATATCCGCAGTCGTTATTAGCGAATTGTCATTATATCCGCAGTCGTTATTAGCGAATTGTCATTATATCCGCAGTCGTTATTCGCGAATTGTCATTATATCCGCAGTCGTTATTAGCGAATTGTCATTATATCCGCAGTCGTTATTCGCGAATTGTCATTATATCCGCAGTCGTTATTCGCGAATTGTCATTATATCCGCAGTCGTTATTAGCGAATTGTCATTATATCCGCAGTCGTTATTAGCGAATTGTCATTATATCCGCAGTCGTTATTAGCGAATTGTCATTATATCCGCAGTCGTTATTAGCGAATTGTCATTATATCCGCAGTCGTTATTCGCGAATTGTCATTATATCCGCAGTCGTTATTAGCGAATTGTCATTATATCCGCAGTCGTTATTCGCGAATTGTCATTATATCCGCAGTCGTTATTAGCGAATTGTCATTATATCCGCAGTCGTTATTAGCGAATTGTCATTATATCCGCAGTCGTTATTAGCGAATTGTCATTATATCCGCAGTCGTTATTAGCGAATTGTCATTATATCCGCAGTCGTTATTAGCGAATTGTCATTATATCCGCAGTCGTTATTAGCGAATTGTCATTATATCCGCAGTCGTTATTCGCGAATTGTCATTATATCCGCAGTCGTTATTAGCGAATTGTCATTATATCCGCAGTCGTTATTAGCGAATTGTCATTATATCCGCAGTCGTTATTAGCGAATTGTCATTATATCCGCAGTCGTTATTCGCGAATTGTCATTATATCCGCAGTCGTTATTAGCGAATTGTCATTATATCCGCAGTCGTTATTAGCGAATTGTCATTATATCTGCAGTCGTTATTAGCGAATTGTCATTATATCCGCAGTCGTTATTAGCGAATTGTCATTATATCCGCAGTCGTTATTCGCGAATTGTCATTATATCCGCAGTCGTTATTAGCGAATTGTCATTATATCCGCAGTCGTTATTCGCGAATTGTCATTATATCCGCAGTCGTTATTAGCGAATTGTCATTATATCCGCAGTCGTTATTAGCGAATTGTCATTATATCCGCAGTCGTTATTAGCGAATTGTCATTATATCCGCAGTCGTTATTAGCGAATTGTCATTATATCCGCAGTCGTTATTAGCGAATTGTCATTATATCCGCAGTCGTTATTAGCGAATTGTCATTATATCCGCAGTCGTTATTAGCGAATTGTCATTATATCCGCAGTCGTTATTAGCGAATTGTCATTATATCCGCAGTCGTTATTCGCGAATTGTCATTATATCCGCAGTCGTTATTAGCGAATTGTCATTATATCCGCAGTCGTTATTCGCGAATTGTCATTATATCCGCAGTCGTTATTAGCGAATTGTCATTATATCCGCAGTCGTTATTAGCGAATTGTCATTATATCCGCAGTCGTTATTAGCGAATTGTCATTATATCCGCAGTCGTTATTAGCGAATTGTCATTATATCCGCAGTCGTTATTAGCGAATTGTCATTATATCCGCAGTCGTTATTAGCGAATTGTCATTATATCCGCAGTCGTTATTAGCGAATTGTCATTATATCCGCAGTCGTTATTAGCCAAGTAGACTGTAGGTACACATGCTGCATGTACGCACCATACCGGTACTTATTTCTGGCAGTATGTTTATCGGGCTTGACTTGACTTCAATAGACAGAGTCACAGGAATGAATGGAGGTATTTATTTCGGGCAGGTACTTCAAGTACTTATTTACGGACTTTTACGTTACTTGACCGGAGCAGCCTACATGCCACACAGACTCACCGTGTGCCATAGGCAACCGAATCACAGCCCACACAGACGCTACTCAGGTCACGCAGCCACTCCTCTGGAAGGTCATCTGCCTGCATCAACGGGTCAGGCCAGTGTCTGAACATGCCAGTGACACAAACACAGAGACACATACAAACTGAGAGAGAGAGATAGATAGAGAGAGATAGAGAGAGAGAGAGAGAGAGAGAGAGAGAGAGAGAGAGAGAGAGAGATAAAGAGAGAGAGAGAGAGCGAGAGAGAGAGAGAATCAGGCAAAGCCTCGGAAAGATGCTTTTCAGATAGAACTATGTATGTACTTCGAGTACATGTACAGTAGTAGCTACAAACTAACTTTGTTTTATCAGAAAGCAGGCCAAACAAGCGTTGTTGCAACTCATCCTCAGCCATGCCATCTACACGAGCAGTTTGCAGAAGTGACGAGAAACATTCCTTGCCAGCAACAACTTTCTTCCAGGGTGTGTCAAGGAAAGCATTGGACAGCCCATAGATGCCTGCAGTATCAATGAACATACCAACACATACACACACACACATACACATGCAGACACGAACATACACATACACATGCAGACACGAACATACACACACACACACACACACACACACACACACACACACACACACACACACACACACACACACACACACACACACACACACACACACAAACACACATACACACACACACACACACACAAACACACATACGCACACACACACACACACACACACACACACACACATACACACACACACACACACACACACAAACATTAGCAACAGCGTGTGTCTGCGGGCCATGTTAGCAGTGACTAACACCGATGCACAGAATGACTGAATGCATGAATAAACAGAATGACTGAGCGCTGCTTCACATGGTGTTTTGAAATATTAGTGCACACCTGGCAATATGGCGGTAAGTACGCGCCTGCCCACACACGCTCTCTAAGCTGTAAAGTTACCATGGCACAGAGCTCTCCTTCTCACCACACACACACACGCACGCACTTCATTCTCCCGAATGAGCGCTGCAGTGAAGAAATCTAGCGGCAATCGTGATCACAACTGACCTGGCGCAAGACTGCGCGGTGATTCGCCAGTTCTGTTGCCATAGTAACACAGGCAGCCAGTGCTGCACAAGGAACAAAAATTAAGTGTACCGTATTTTACCGGTTGTAAGTCGACCCCGGTTATAGGTCGACCCACGTATCCGGAGGTCTCAATTCTGCGTTTTAAAGTTTTCACCAAAAGAAGCACTACTAACCACTCCCTGCTACTAACACATCAACAAATCATGTACACATTCCTTATTGGAGGGTATAATGTCCCAATCCTTGAAAGGGGCCAAAACACTGGCAAAAAATGTGTAGACATGGTGCACTCGTGCATGCAGTGCAGGTCATTTTTTGTAAGATACTGATAGTTCCCGGTTATAAGTCAAATCCCGGCTGTAAGTCGACCCCACCCTTTCTACTTCCATTTACGGTACACCCACGTATACACAACCACCATATATGTACCATGTATACGCCCGTCGCAAGAGAAGCACGCAAATCTGCAAAAGCACTGGATGTGCACCCACAGATTTTCTTTTATAGCAACGATAGCGGCCAAGATCTGAATGAGACAGATCAAGACTTGCGCCAGATAACTGTCTAATCCACACAACTGGCGAAGCCATGTGAATCGACCACCAATGCACACCTGCTCTACACCACACGGAGTACATCGGCATAAAACGGCCAGGACAGTTACATATGCACACCCTACACTTGCTGGGGTAACCAGTATAGACAGCACACTGCTTTGATAGAAGCAGACACTAGATGCACTGGTACCTTGAAGTGAAATTGGAGTTACTTTACTAACCAGCCTCGACTACTGAGTACTGGGAACCCAGAGCCAACATACACACCCACACCCACGCACACACACACACACGCACCTGTCGTATTTTAAACTGCTTTTCCATTGTGTCATTGCCTCATTGGTCACGTGGTACGCTGTACCTTGGCAGAACGGAATGAAGTACACACCCATATATGCATACACACACACACACACACACACATACACACACACACACACACACACACACACACACACACACACATAGAGGGATTGCGACTCACCTCATATCACCCAGCAGGATGTTGAACGCGTTGAATTCCGCCGCCCTTTCCGACAGCATGGTACAGTATTCAAGCGGAGTTTGCTCACTGCGGAGGAAGTCAGCCACCAAGCATCCTAAAGTCACAAACGAAACAAACATACTGCAATTTCACAAACTTTCCGTGTACATGTACTTTTCTTGTTGGTACTTTCGGTGTACCAGGTATCTCTTTCATACCAACAAATTTCAATAGCTGCACAAACACTGCCGTGCCTCATCCCATAGGGTCATAGTCTTTTGGCCTCATACCGAAAAATTTTAAAGCACCTGAAAATTTCTGAAATTAGAGTATTCAAAATGGAAAAAATGTGGGCACAATTTTTAAGCGATCGAGTCCACCACCTAAACCAGATTTTGAACAGTCAGACGTGCACAAAACTGACAAGGAGTTGGTTTAGTTGGTGGACTCGATCGCATAAACTGTGCTCACATGTTTCCATTTTACACATTTTTTTCCTTGGCTCACCATCTCAGTTCTTAGAGTACTGTATAAGCAGAAATATTCGTCTGGAATTTAATTTCGTCTTTTTCGTCCAAGGAGCTTTTGGACTAAATTAAATGCCGGACGAATGTCGATTTGTCCAGCTTTTCAATACACTCTTATGATTCATGGACGAAATTTACAGCCGGACGAACTCCCTTTCTTTGGAGTTGGACGAAATTATTGACCGACGAAATTTTCTGCCTGTACAGTACTAGTATTGAATCAGCAACTGTACAACGGCTGTAGGGAGATGGCGGTGACAACAGCTGTAGAAAGATGGCGGTGACAACAGCTGTAGAAAGATGGCGGTGACAACGGCTGTAGGAAGATGGCGGTGACAACGGCTGTAGGAAGATGGCGGTGACAACGGCTGTAGAAAGATGGCGGTGACAACGGCTGTAGGAAGATGGCGGTGACAACGGCTGTAGGAAGATGGCGGTGACAACGGCTGTAGGAAGATGGCGGTAACCATGGGGAGGAGAGTATAGTGAAACCAGGGAGTCGTAAAATACCGACTCCCTGAGTGAAACAGTGGGAGGTATGCATCTAAGATGGCCGTCACATTTTTGCAGGGCAAGTTACCCCATACTTGGCAGGTACAACCCGTTATAGTACATTTATGAGTATGACCTCACAAAGTTCATGATCTTTTATGCAGAGTTGGTATCAAGGTGTGTACGGTTGCAGTGGACTTGCCCAGCAAAACCTAATGGCGGGAAATTGATGCATACATCCCAATTCAGTAGAGCGAACTTGTAAGGGACGCAACACCAGTAAAACAGGCGTCAAGACAAGCTTCTATACAGTAAACCTGTGTTTGCCAAACCTTGTACCAAGCGAAATCCTGTATTGACCGGACAAATGTTCATGCACCAAAGTGCTGCGAATCAAACGTGCATCCCCGAATCAAGCGGAATCCTGTCATATCATGACAGTTTCCGCTGCACCGAGGGCGTCCGTCCGGTTAGGGCAGGTTTTGCTGTACATTACAAGCTAACTGGTGGTAAATGAAATCCAACCCCATGGGTTAAGCAGAGGCACGCTCACAGCACAGTCTACTGTTCGTAGTGCTACTGGTGTGCAGCCTCAGAGCCATTGTTCTCGTGATGTTGGATTTCATGTGCCACCACTGTATGTGTTCAAATTTGCTCTTGTACATGAACTTGTAGCAGCAGCCCACTGAGCTGGCATGTGTATGCGTGCACATGCATACCATGCACACACACACACCCCCACACACACACACCCACGCATGCACACACACACCCAAATACACACGTGCACCCCCCCCCCCCCCCCCCACACACACACACATGCACACACCTCTGCCCCTGGCATCTGGCCTGATGTCCGCCAGCGACTGACGAACGTTGGTGATAACGCCAAATCGGCCGTTTCGTTCGTTCACGCCGATCCACGTTCCTCCCTCCTTTCCAGGAGTCATGTCCATGCCTGTGCAAGCAATAACGCCGAGACATACAAAATTAAGAGATGTGACCAGAATACATAGTGTTGCCCGATGAAATTATCGTAAGGGAGAAAATACCGAGATTTGGGTTCGACCTTCAGCTAGATGCACGCTAATTTAGTACGCTGCTGCCATGAGTATAGCTTTTATTTCGCGGTACAACCATTTATGGCACCATATTATGCGATACAAGGTGAACTGGGTACGCACTACGCAATACTTGGCCAAAAAACGTACCGTTTGTCACAATGATAAATTAGTCCCCATAACGTTTTTACGCTGCAGCTTCAACGCTATTTGGGTGATCAAGGTACGAGTAACATAAAAAATAACGTTATCGTTGTTTGCTAAGGGTGTCTAATGGTGGAATTCCGCCGTGGGGATCCCCGTGTAGAGAATTGCACACTCTTGGGGTTATGGACTCTTGCCATCATGCATAGCGAGAAGGTATGTTGTAGCTCCCGGACCGGTGGTCGAGCCTGATCAGCTGACACGCCGCGTAGCATTAGACGAGAAACGTCGCAAGAGGTACTAGTACGTACTTGATCATACTTGTACTTCCACCGAGAATGGCCAATCCACCGAGAACGGCACAATCCACCGAGAATGGCACAATCAACCAGTTGGGGAGTCCATTCTCTTTGTTTTGTGCTCTGGATGACGGTGCATTTCGGAAACATTATGCAGGGAAACACTTCGTACACCTGTTTTGACGGTGACAGCGTGAACAAGGCGAGGACGCACTGTGTGGGAAACAGTGCTCCTGACTACCAGTGTTGCCAACCGCCCGTATTTGTCTGTATTTTTACGGAAAAAAGACGTTTTGTCCGCAGTACGGATTTCAATCGGATATCATGTATATGATCAATTGCTAAAACCTTCGTAACTCCATCGTTTCTTGTGCCAATTCAACAATCGAAGGATCTACGTGGCAGCCAAAACTCCAAGCTGTCCAATGCAACACTCACGGAAGCGTTACGATATCGGATTCCAGAAATATAGACCAAAGTTATGACCTGGTGAAGTTGAAAACTGTACTGAATTCGTAGGCTTCGCAAGTGAACTCTGTGGCTGGAAAAGTTGTACAGTATCGTTTTTTCTTCCAACTAATACACTAAATCAGTCAAATTGTTGACCTGAAAAACGAGTACGGAAAGCTCTGAAAAATTCTGCAAAATGGCACTGGGCAGGACGCATGGGGGTAGAGGGCACTTGGTAACACTGGACTACAACCAGGAAGTCGTAAAATACCGGTATTTTACGACTGCCCCGGTATTTTACGACTCCCTGACTACAACCATTTGAACCGGTTGGTAGAGTCTCGGTCTTGCGACCATTTGAACCGTATGGAGTCCTCACCTTGTTCATGCTGTCACCGTTTTAAAAACATGTAATGTTACCGGTATCTAATCAGGCAAGGCTTGCATACCCGCATATCTCTTCGTGCACTTGTGCTCTACACCAGGGAGTCGTAAAATACCGGCATTTTACGACTCCCTGGTCTACACTCTACAGGATAATTCAAATCCAGTACGCACCTGCCACCACTCCAGAGCCGTCATTCCAGGCATGAGCACATTTTGCAGGTCTGCCGAACTCCTCATCTCTGTTTGAAGCCAGCACAAGACGATATCCCGAGTTCTGTCCCGCTTCAGGACTCGGCCAAAACGCCACAAACACAATGCACATTTTCCAACCTTTCCTCGTCGCACAAACTAGCTTTTATTGTTTCTTTACTCCGTCGATCTATATGTACACTGCAGTTCTGTGGATCTGTCTCGCTTGTCCGGAAACGAAGATAACAACGAACATACGAAGTCAGATAAAACAGCACCACAATGACTAATACGTACTGTCCAACAAGCTGCAAACTCTCTCTATTTATATCTCTGTCTCTCTTCGTTGCTCTTGCTCAGTCCGTTGCAAGCTTTGTTCTTCTGGTTTCAAACTGTCACGTGCCATCACCATCCCAGCATGACGTAAACCGTTCTTCAAAGTGAGTCATCATCAATTTTTCGATTGGCCAATCGATCGCTACAAGCAAGTGCAGCAGCGTTACACTTACAGCGGATCAGTTTCGATGTCAACTCCTCACAACTAAACCATAGCTGCTAGTTCTCAGGGCGCCCTAATTTACTTCAACTATTACTAAGGCTAGTTTGTGTGTTTCTGAACATTCAAGCGATGCCAACGCGAATCCCGCGAATTATTATTATTATTACTAAGGCTGCTGCTAGCATGCTGTACAAATGACTAAAACACATACACACACACACACACACACACACACACACACACACACACACACACGCATACACACACGTACACACTCGCTTGTCCTGTTGAGGCACTGCCACAAGCAGAGGGATTGAGAGAAGGAGCATGCTGCCGGATAGCGCCTCAGATGCAGAATCAGACGGAACCGCTCGCACGCACACACACACCACACACACACACACACACAGCTGCATGTACACAGTCATAGTGCTCGCAATGCAGTGCTCGCATGAATCGTGCCCTCTCTCGAATAGACACCCAGCCGGTGAGGCCAGCGACACTCGAACAAAATACAAACGTCTCTCGAGCAGAACCAGTACCGGTATGTGTGCGTTGGTGACGATTACAAAAGGGTGGCCCAATCTTGGCAGTTGCAATGGCAAGTGAGACACAAATTGGTTTAGTACCAAGAAGAATAAAAGCCTCAAGTCAAAAATATTCCATTTGGATAATCGTGACAAGAAAATGTTCTGAACTACTAGAACAACTCTGGTTGCTCTGTTCGTGACACGGGATGGCACATTGTTGTCTTGGTTACATTATTACGATTATTGTCTCTATGTCGTTGTCATCTTTTCAACAAGAAACAAATCTCCAAAGTATTGCCTATATGTGACAAGACTGACTTGCATGATTGGTCTATTGTTGCTACTGTAGGACTGGTGCTTCTGCTTTTTCTCTGCTCTCAGCTGGATTGGCTGGAGGAGTCATAAAATACCGGTATTTTACGACTCCCTGGCTGGAATAGTACGGTTGGACGTGGCATGATGGGGCCACTTGAAGAGACAGTGCAGCTTGCTGGACGCTTGTTTGTTCAACTTAGCGGCACGCGCTCACCGCTCAGGGCCCGCTGGGCGGTGGACGTGGATACGGGACACCACACTGCGTGAGCTCATCGCACTTGCAACCGACTGGACAGCTGTCGATACCGCGCGCCATCAAACGTTCAGTCTGCCGGTGGTATAGCTGCAGGAAGTCTTGTGACTGTGCGTCCAGGCCGGCCTGGAAGTTCCAGAAGGCACCAGCTGCAACGATACCGCGCGGCCAGATCATTGCGGTAACGGACGAGCGGAACACCTTATCCTCGCCACGGCCGTACATCCACCAGGCGACCGGCTTCGTGCCGTTCATGAAACACTGCAGCCGGTAGCAGTAGTTGTCGGACCACATGGAGAACTCGCCGCCGAGAAGCAAGCTGTGCTGCTTGGCTGGCACGCTGGCACCGATGTCCGTCCACAGCTTGTCGTACGTCGTGCTCACATAGTTGACGTAGAAGTGCGGCAGGCTGCTGGCCACGGCCTGGTAGTCGGCCGCCGTGGCCTGCGATGCAGACTCCATCTTCCATGTGTTGATGACGGTGCCGGGGAGAGCTGCCTTGGAGCTGAGCAGGCAAAGCAAGAACAAGACCAACACGAACACAGGAGTAAACGACTACGTTGTGAGTGCAATGCCGATCAAGACTCAACCTGCGCAATCACACCAAAACTATACCTGGTAAAGAGACGAAATCACCGCTCTGCCTGAATAATGAACTCTTTTCACGAAGAGGATGAAATTGAAATCCCGGCTAATAGTTCTCCTTATATGATATCCCCATGGTCAAGGCAAACAGAAAACATCAGAAGAGACAAGAAGAAAAGAAAAAGGGCGACTAACGAGAACAGAATCTCCTCCCAGCCGACCGGTGTCTTGCCGAGGCCAGCAAGATGTTGTTGCAGCTCTTGCTCCATTTTACGGGTCATTACTAGGGGACAAGTGTCAGTTACGCCTGAATAAAACAATGACAAAAAAACCATCGTGAGAAGAATAGATTTCATAAACAACACTTTGGAAACAAAATAACATCATGAGAATTCGCTGCAAAATAACATGACAAGAGGTTAAAAAAAAGTTTTACCAGTAAGAAAAGAAAGAGAGAGAAAGAGAGAGAGAGAGAGAGAGAGAGAGAGAGAGAGAGAGAGAGAGAGAGAGAGAGAGAGAGACACACACACACACACACACACACAGACAGAGACACAGAGAGAGAATATCCAAAGCAAGGCACAGCACGGTACAAAACCGCCGGTAGCAATCACTGCTCACGTGTTTCGTCACAGCCGATGTGGAAGAGCTTGTCGGGAAACAGCGTCGCCATCTCGGAAAGCAGCGCCTTGAGCGTCGCAACGGTACGCCCGTCCAAGTCGTTGTGTAGCTGGACATTGGACTCGCTGCAGAATGTGACGCTCCTGTTAGCCAGCGGCAACAGTCCACGACTGTGGCCAGGGAAGTCAAATTCGGGAACGACACGTATTCCACGATCGGCCGCGTACTCGACGATCTCACGGATCTCGTCCTGTCGGTAGAAGCCATCAGAGTGCGCCGTCAGCTCTGGGAAGACGAGGCTCTCGACGGCAAAGCGGCAGTAGTCAGACAAGTGAAAGTGCAGTACGTTCAGCTTGAAGTAGCTCATGGCATCCAGCATCTCCAGTACCAGCTGTTTGGGAAAGAACCGCCGCCCTGTGTCGATCATGAAGCCGCGATGACGGTACCGGGGGAAATCCCGCACACGCAGCTTCTCCACCATCAGCTTGCCATCGTCGACTACCTGTGACAGGCTCTCCAGTGCGTACATGGCGCCATATATGGTGTCGGCAGTCACGTGACCCTTGCCGCCTTCCACGGAGAGTCGATACGCGTAGGACGTCGCTGCATTTAGGGTTTCATTGTGGTTCGATACGGCCAGATACAGACTATCTAAACCAGTTCCGTTGGCATTAGCTATGCGATCCTGTACGGTGAGGTCCTCCAGCATCGATGGACGAATCCATTGCCTATAGCGAGCAATGGCTTTGTGCAAGCGAGGCGATTGACTATCGGTGGTAATATCAAATCCTTCGTGGATGACACCCGGCCAGCCACTGGAATCCACCTCTGCCGGAAGAGGCCAAATACTCGAGGACGAAGTGGAGGCAATGACTATGTAGGCATTACAACACAGAGCTGCGAGAAACGCAGTCAGGCGTCCTGAAAACGACATTTCACAGCACTGAGCTTTGACTTGTGAAGATCCAATGATAATAATCAATGGGAGCTCAAAACAAAGCCTAACTTCGTCACATGAACAACCTACAATTATTGTAAACGGCAAGTAAAGCCTACAATTTGGGACGCAGATCAAGTCTTCAAGCAAGAACTGTAGATCTGTTCGTCTTCAAAGAAGAGAGCAGAGCCAGGGGACTGTGAAGTCGAGGATATCGATGAAGCAGTGCCAGTAGTTTGATTTTGAAAGCGCAAAATGCAATCAAACACTCAGCCCAGGTCTGGAAAAAAAAGAGGAGGGGTTTCCCCAATGCTGTACAAAGCCATCACATCATTTTTTTGAATGTGCTCCTCGATTTTTTTCCACTCATTCAAACAAAGTTTTCATTTCCCAACAGTTTTTTTGTTTTTGAAATGCCAGTACAGAATATAGAACTTCAGAAGTCGTTGTGACCAGTGGTGACTGTTGCATTGTTGGCCCTTGGCCCTTGGATTATCGTTGTAGTTTGGTTTGGTGTTCTCGTTATCCCATAAGCTTTCAGCGTCAGTTCCCACTCCTATTTTGCAGCAATGGCTGAACGCTGGAGAGATTTGGATGTAACTGCGAGCTCGTTGCTGGACGCTACATCGGTTAGGGATCCGATTCACATGACTCGCAGCCGTGATGTGCTTATTAATGCAGCAATTGGCCGAGGTAAGCCGAGTGGGCCTGGGCCAGTTCAGCCAAATCCAGGAGGGATCTGCTTGCCTCAAGGCTTGGTGGAGCTGGAGCTGCGTGCGCAAGCTGCAGCTGCAGACCTGCGGAACTCGCGCAACGCACGAACGACATCGACGACCACTGCAGATGGTGGCAGCAGCAGCACTACAACCGGTATTCACAGTCGACCGCCACGCACTCCTGGCACAGCAGCTAGTCCAGCTGCACTGATGTCATCAGACAGGATATCACCAGCTGCAGCATCACCAGCAGCGGCAGCCAATGTGAGCAGTCACAGTGCAGGGTCTGAGCCTACTAGCTTATCCCAGTCCAGTGGCCACGCTGCGGCTTCGCCAATCCGGCCGCCAAGTACGGACGATGCGGCAACGGTGTCAGTATCTACCCCTACAGCTCAGCCCAATAGTCCTGGGATGCCGTGTTCCGCCGGGGCCGCTCAGCCTAGTACTACGAGCACAACTGCGTTGGCTACCAGCCCGGCAACTAGCAAGGACACACCGGCCAGCCATGACACAGCACCGGCAACACACACAGTACCTACTCAGAGCTACGATGATACAGGGTCAGCAGAGGCGGCTGCTGTTCCTCAGGAAAGCAAGGTTAGGCGTCCCGACGTGCCGTTTTCAATTTTTCATTGCACAAACTTCAGCGAGCGCACAACCCTTGAGTGTGCAGCTGTGACACACATGCAACTGTACATAATCCACTACATGTGCTTTCACAAGTTATGCAACTTGCCTACAGCACCCCCCTTGGCCATGCAATCAAAACCTACTACGGTGGTCCCTTTATATAAATCCGGCACCATTTGTGCTGCTGAAATTCTGCTGGATTAGGGAGGGTCACGCTGGATTAGAAAACCTGATTTACTGCGGCAATGTGCATGAAAAGGACATTTTTGGTATTACTGAAAATTACGCTGGTTTATAGAGGGTGTTGGTTTGTGCAGTGCTGGATTAAAGAGGGACAACTGTATCTCAAGTTTTAGCACGCCGGCTTTTCTCTTTGGGTTGATTCGCTCGAGTCGCTGAAACATCAATCCATTCTAGCTGTCAAGTCAATCTATTTTTCGTTGAGCGGGGTGGGTGGGGGCGGTTATATATTTTTTCGTTTCATGAAAATTATAGATGATGCCGGACGGCCCCTAAACATGCATTCTGTTCGCAAGCTGGATGGTGGCGTAAGATGTTAGGTCTTGCACACTTCACGGTGTGTGCATGAAGGCAACACAGCACGGTGTGTGCATGAAGGCAACACAGCTCGCCCATGGACAAGAGACTGAAGTCAAACCTGTCATGACGACCACTTGAGTAAAGCTACTACAAACTTCTACCTACCTGTGATTGTGATTTCCTTTCTCTTGCTGGCTCACTGAGGGAGTTTATGCTCCGCTCGTCCTTTGTTCACCGAGGGAGTTGATGCCCCGTTTGTCCTTTGTCTTGCTTCTCACTGCGTAGACTGGTGTGTGATTGTTCACTGCAGACGATGGAAGTGGACGTGAACACGCTACGCATTGCTCATATACACCGGGATTGTGACATTACGGTGAGAGTGACAGTGAACTGCTGCTCGATGAAAGCTAAGCCCGTTGAGCACAGGTCTGGAGCTGTACAGTACGTGTCACGTACCGTATTTCCCCTATTAAGTCACACCTTTTTTACACTCAAATTCAAGGGTAAAAAAGGGCATGCGACTTACTATCGAGCATGACTTACTACTGAAGTGAATATATCAAAACACCATGGCTCAAACCTGAAATGGGAGTGCGACTTATAATTGGGGAAATATGGTACTTGGCTATTGCAATCAGATTTCTTTGAACAGCCCTGTGCATTTCTCAATATACGCATACTTGGGCCGTGATGCCGTGACCTCAGGTCGGCAGGGCCATCAATGCCCCACCATCACTGCTGCGTCTCGGTGCAGCGCCTTCTCAGTAGTTGTTATTTTGGTCCTAGTCTCCGTAACATTCTCTTGCATTTTTCTTTCGAGCTGGGTATGTGAACACAGTAAAAAATAATAATAATAAATACTCCACTGCTGCCGTCCAGTATAACAACCGTACATGCTGACAATGCTGTCCAAGCGGAGTCTCTGGGCTACACTGGTCTACACTAATCACTGAGAAGAAATTACAAAAAAAGAATACGAATCCGACTTTTCTGCTTCCACAAGAACTGCTTCAAGCATACTCACGATGCAGGCTGTGAATATACGGGACTGAGAACTCTCACTAAGCCCCTGGTCTATCACCTCTCTGCTCTATTTTACCAAGAATACATGATAACCAGAGTGTGCAGCTCGGATGGGTTGCATTTTAGTGATGTTATGCGTACAGGCAGGGTTCAAGCAGGTCTCTTTCTGCACAACTGCAGCTCAGTTGTACGCACTACGCCACTTCCCGCCTCAGGTCTGCACCAAACATGATGTAATCACGGAATTCCGCCTTGACAGACACCCATAGTAGTAAAAAGCCCCAAGCTGCACACTCTGGGTTTCTCGTACTCTTGATTTTACCCATTGCTCTTGATCAATGCCTTTTTTCCTGTATTCCACCTGATGAGAAGGCATCAAAAGCACTTGGAAATTTCCGAAAATATTGCTTGTGAGGAGCCTGAAGTTTGTTCTTTTCTGTGCCACTATGGGTCGTCCACACTTTGAAACAGTCTTTGTGTTCATGTGTGTGTGTGTGTGTGTGTGTGTGTGTGTGTGTGTGTGTGTGTGTGTGTGTGTGTGTGTGCGCGCGTTTGGGTGCATGGGTGCGCGTGTTGACCCTTCTGCACAGGGACTCATCGAGGAGTTTGCAAATTTTGGTGGTGTTTCGCAGTACCAGTGTTTGCAAGCTAGTCCGACGGATGACAAAGTTCTGCTTGTCAGGTGAGGAGGTTGCAGCCTGTTCGGCACTTACACCTCACCTAACTGCGGGCATTCACCTTCTGCTAGATTTACTCTGCCACAAATTGTCTTAGTCGAATTGCTGCAGAATCTTTCTAACACGGTAAAAGTTCAGACCTTTGGTCAACCGAGTGGGGCCGTTCACACCCGTGGTCGGCTTTCCCGTGGCCGCATGTTTGGCCATGAATTTGTGGCGGGGGAATTGGAAAAATATCTGTATTGGATTTTTGTAGTACAGTGCTGGCAACTGAAATCCGACCCCTTACTGGCCTTAGCAATGCATTCACATTCTAGCGGTCTCAATTTCGTAGTTTTAGTATCCCGTGTTGGGTCTTTGCGATGTGAGCGCACCGCTCAGGAGTCGGATTTCAGTTACCAGCACTGTACATTCTGTACTATGTTTTGCATCCACGGGATTTTCCCTTGACAAACGCCCTGAGGCCCACGGCCACGGCTTTGCCAATTTTTCCCGAAAGGTTCTTCCTTTCCCCCAGTACCATGGTTTCCATAACAACTTCCCACAGCCGAGGTTTTACCCGTGTGTGCGTGTGTGTGTGTGTGTGTGTGTGTGTGAATCCCCTATAAAACATGTCATCCCTTGCAGTAGATCTGCTTTTCTGATGCCCTGCCGAGTGTCGTTATACGCAAAATTGACTGTATGTTTAATTTGTTGTTGTTGCTGTTGTTGTTGTTGTTTTTGCTGCTGCTGCTGCTGCTGCTGCTGCTGATGTTGTTGTTGTTCTCGGCACTGTTGTCTACATACTCATTGTCTGCATGTAGAATGGGGGATGAGCAGATGTGTGAGTGGATCATCTCCAGTTACGACGGCACTGAAGAATGTAAGTGCATGTGGTGTGCATCATACTGGTAACACAGTGAATGCGTTCGATTACGCACTTGAATCGATTCATGAATGGAATCTCGCAGTTCGATTTCATGTCATGAGCCCTGGAATCGATTCGGAATCCATTCTTCACCCTATTCACATGGGGTGATGTGAATATCACATGAGGTGATGTGAATAGCGCGAATCGATTCATGAATGGATTCATGAATTGATTCGCGGGCATAATCGACCGCACTCAGTGGATTAAAAATCCAAAACATGGGGTGTGGGTGCGGGCACAATAACCATGTTCAAGTAGTATTGTTTGCGGGCCATATGCCCCCGTACGACCTGTTTACGGGGATCCGCTCAGCTTCATGCTAGCCCCTGACAATCAGCAGTCCAGCATTGTTTGTGCTGTCATCTGATCAGCAAGATGCAGACACTCTCCTTTGCTGAATGTACTGTGAAGGAGGAAGGAGAAAATGGTCAGCAGCAATGTCCAGCCTGTTTAGCAATAGTGAGGTTCTGCCACACGGTAAAACGTGCCAAAGTACGTATGAAAACCTCGCCGCGGTACGGGATCAAGTTTCATACGGATTTTGTCATACCGTTTTCCGTGTGAAGCGCGCTTCACACGGACTGGACTCCGTGTGAAAACTGAGCGTACAGAGTACATGTGGCGGGGTGTTCGTGCATGCTACGAGCATGCTACGTACAGCAGAACCGGTGCAATGTACGAAAAATCCGTGTCAAACTTCACTGCAGTTGACACGGTGTTTGGTCGTAGTTCCGTGTGGCAGAACCTCTCTAATACCGCAATGGGGCGTATGCATCCATTTCCCACCATTAGGTTTTCCGGGGCAAGTCTACTACAAACGTACACACTGTGATACCAGCTCTGCATAAAAGGTCATGCACTTTGTGAGGTCATACTCATAAATGTACTATAACGGGTTGTACCTGCCAAGTATGGGGTAACTTGCCCTGCAAAAAGGTGACGGGCATTTTAGATGTGCATCTCCCATTCCACCTCCAGCACATGCGCTCTCTGGCCGACCTTATCACACCAGCAACATGACCAGAGAACGCATGTGCTGGAGGTGGACTTGCTCATTAAAGGCAGGAGAGAGAAAGATACAGCAGCAGCGGCAACAACCTGACACCTGGTGTCTAAACCGGGATGCAGGATGATCCCAGCCTAGCACCTGCAGCTACCTACAGCAGGGAGATCACAAAGCACAAACAATACTCCCGAAACCTCACGTAAAGGCAGTACGTGTGGCAGAAACTCTTAATTTTTATAAGGTTCGAAATCGGAAAAAAAGCTGTGGAGGAGCTCCAAACTCTCTATTCACCGATCGCGTACCGGTCTTGAACTATCTCCGTTCGTTGTTTTGTGCGTCACCTTCCACGATCCAGTAGATCTACACGTTGCTGTGTCTGCTAGTGCTAGATTTCCAACATGTGGCAGCCCGTGCTGATTCAGCCCCACAACCACTGCCGACTGCTCGTTTCCTCAGCGTTGCCTACATCAGAGATGTCCATTTTTCATCTGCAGACGGACCTGAGCACTTCACAAGGCCACTTCGTCGCGAGCAAACACAACCAGATGCGAGAATCTGCACGAAGTTTCGCTCTGCAAAACGTCTCTAATGTCAAAGTGTGCAACAGTCAGCACCGGGGAATACTAAAAAAACGTTTTTTTTGTACTCACTGGTCACCACAGCCGTACTTACGCTTATTGCTGGCGCATGGCGTTCAGCAACTAAGGCTGCGTTTACACGACAACGCACGGCCAGTTTTCCGTTTTCAGTCCCGCATTTCTTCTTTCGTTTTCGTACGTTTACACGATCAAAGCCGATCCGAAGTGGTCTCCGTTTGTATCGTTTTCAAGCGTCTACACGAGAGCAAAGAATCCGCCAAAGTTTGTCATGTGCCAAGTGTTGCCGTGGAAGCACCAATCACACTCAAGTAATGTTTGAAAACAGGCACACGACAACACAAGTCACATGACGAAAATTGTAAAAACATTTTTTTGGATTGTCGAATCCGTGTAAACGGCCGAAAACGAAACAAACGTGACGGAAAACAAGGCCAGCACACCGTTTCGACTGTTTACACACCCAAATTTATCCGGCACAACATTTCCGTTTTCAAATTCTTCCACCTTGGCCAGCGTTTTGGTTTTCTTCCGTTTTGGTGTACAACTTTTACGTTTTGCTCCGCGTACCGTGTAAATGAACCATGGATCCGAAAGGATTTCGTTGCGTTTTCGCCCCCAGCGTTGTCGTGTAAACGCAGCCTAAGAAACTTCACTTCTTAACTCCAAACTCCAAAAACGGTATTTTAACTGCGATTCAAATTCAAATTTACATTACACCAAATTTTCGGGCCTGGCCCATCATCAGAGTAATGAATGACAACATATCCATTGCATAGGTAAAGTAAATTTGAATTTGAATCGCAGTGAAGAGACTGTTTTTGGAGTTTGGAGTTGAGAAGTGAAGTTTCCTAATAGATGATACGCCAAATAATGTGCAACTAGACTTGGGAGGGCATTGCAGAGTAGTTACTTACAAAGTTCAAAGTTGTAAGTAGTATGTGTCGGGCGGGTTTCCGAGTAGGCACATGCCCCAGCCCAAATGGGGTACTATTGATAGTACCCCATTTTTGGGGTGAAAAACCGGGTGCCCGGTTTTTACGTAAAAAATGATTTTTCGGGTATTGGATCGGGGGGTATGCTCTAATTGATTCTGGAGTATGATGGATTATTGAGAAACACTGAATGAAAACTCATAGATTTGCGTGATTTTGAACTCTATATTCAAATTTTCGGCTCACTTTTTTCGTGCCGACTTGCACACGAATCCGCGTGACTCTTGTGGCCACGGCACGGAGTTTAACAGCCTTGGTGCTATGACATACACTCGCGTCATCGACTCTATACACTTCTTTGCGATTCACATCATCAATCAATTTCATGATATCACTTGCATCCGAATATGTGGCATCTGCGAAGATATCAACCATATCCTGTGAACATTCATCGTCGCGCAATTCGTTGAGCTTATAGAAAGAGTGCCTTCCATCAACCCATCTTCGGACTATCACACCATCATCTGCGTCGCTTACAGTGCCGAAGTCCTCGACACCACGGATGATGATCTTCGGAAGGTGCTGCTTCTGATCTTTCACCTTGAACACCAGTCCGGTGACTCTACAAATATACTCGGCTGCAGCGAGTGGCGTCATGTTGAACCTTCTGGGGTGCCGTATCATTGGATTGAGGTCCATAGCTGTCTTCCGCGCACTGAGGTGGCGGACGGTGAATTCCTCACTATCGCAAGAAAATTTATAAAATTTCTCTGCTCTATACGATTCACTAGTTGACCACTTCATCTTAACTTCTTCACATGGCGAAAGAGTCGACAGTAATGAAACACCAGGTCTTATAGAGACTACTTCGCATCAAGATCAAAGGTCACGCCACGGGGAGGTGACGGCCTTGGAGAACACGGTGTGTCTCGAAAGTGGGAAGACGCTCCAGTCATGGTGTGTCTTTTTTTTATTCGGGTTTGGAATCTTTCAACTGCGACATCGGATTGAGATGTGAATCCCTTTCTTCCATTGAAAGGTCGATGTGATGGAGAATTTTTCTAGCTTTCCACTCATATAATTCTTTCTGTCACAGTACTTAGTTTTCATATATTTTCAGTGGTGGAAATACGTAAAGCACACGGACCCTGGATGCACACATCATGGAGTGTGCATTGACGTCACAGTGGATTGTAGGATACACAATGGACCACACAAACACACAAACACACACACACACACACACACACACACACACACACACAAACACACACACACACACATCACATACACTGTGCAATGACATCACATACACTGTGCAATGACATCACACACACTGTGCAATGACATCACATACACTGTGCAATGACATCACAGTGAACTGCACGATCGGTGGATGCTTTGTATGTAGAATGGAATTCCGGGAATTGGACTTCTCCGTTCCTGATTGGTCAATTCTTTCGTTTTTCAGATCAAGCTTCCTGATTGGGTAATTCTTTAGGGTGTGAATTGATTTGATTGGATGACATACTATTTCCGAAATTGGACTATTCCATTGAGAAGTGAAATAAAAGGCCCAGCACTGTAAACGCTCACCTATTTTGTCTATCGTACAGACTTTCAACCCGGGCTGAAATTTCTCATGTTAACACAGCCTATGTGTGTGTGTGCATGTGTGTGTGTGTGGGGGGGGGGGGGTACATGTGTGTACATGTGTGTACGTGTGCACTTGTTGTTTTTACAGTTTCTGGTCGCCAGCGCATATCTGTGGACTACGCTATACCCAGATGACATTCGACGATACTACTAACTTAGTTCGCACTGAATCTCTCAAGATCTGCTCTGATCACGAAATCATGGTAACAAATGGACGCTCGGGGGATTTCCCTTCCAGTCAAGAAGAGCCATTGCAGGGTTTACCTACTACATTGTAGTCGGGGAGGCGCTGTCGTTTGTCCTGTTGTGCTGCTGACCTTGTCTCGGCATATAGTCTTGTACAGTGTATCTTGTCTGGTGCCTCACGGAGTGCGGGACAACAATGCAAGCGACATCTGAGGAATCGGAATGATTTTCACATCGTTTTCGTGCCGCTGCCATACGCGTGTGTGTGTGTGTGTGTGTGTGTGTGTGTGTGTGTGCACGTGTGTGTGTGTGTGTGCGTGTGTCTTTGTGGCTCTGCATTTATGTCCAGTCCTGACTTTCTCTGCGATCTCTGTGTCTTATCAAGTTTTCGTTGACTCCAATTATTTTTTTATACAAGAACTTTTTTATCAGTTGCCTGCCTGTCCTGGTTTATATTCAATATGCCTGCCTGTCCTGGTTTATATTCAATATGGTCAATCTTCTGTTTTATACGCAGCATACAGTGAGCTTTTTACGTGAATTTTATTTTATTTTTTATGTTTTAAAGTTTTTTTGTCTTGCTAATTTTAGTGTCTGGTATACTCTGCAAGGCTGCGCCGCCATGTCCTGTCCGACAAGGGAACTTATCTGCTCCCTGAAAACTGAGAAGACGTATGTCTGTTCTCTATGTGTGGCGTGTCTCGGCTTTGCTGCAGTGAGTTTAGGAAACAGAAGTTGACGGTGTGACTGATTGTGGGTAGCTTTAAGTTACTGTTGTGTGTGTGTGTGTGTGTGTGTGTGTGTGTGTGTGTGTGTGTGTGTGTGTGTGTGTGTGTGAGTGTGTGTGTGTGTGTGAGATTGTGTGTGTGTGTGTGTGAGTTTGTGTGTGTGTGTGTGTGTGTGTGCGTGCGCACGTATTCATTGCATTTGGGATTTTGGTCAAGTGGTGAGCTAAGTGTCTACGCACAGTCCTGAAATCTTGTCTTACCGTATGTCCGCACCTTTAAAGCCATGGCGGTATATTCAATTATAAAGCCAGCCTCAGTTATAACTTATAAAACCATGGCTTCAAACTCCCAGCCCAGCAGAAAGGGTGAACAAATGGATGTAGATTGAAATTTCAGTGTGTACTTTGACTTCTACAGCATGGCGTAGTGTCTAAAATAGCTAGGAAAGCAGTGGTGTTTCGAATATAAGGCCATGGCTTTAAAGGCGCTGACACACAGTATGCTTCATCGGTGTTTGGAGCACTCTTGGCTAGTCTTGCTTTGGTCACTATCGTATACATGTGGTGGTGTAGTGGTGATCACGGTGTTGGTGGCGGTGTCGGTGGTGATGGTGGTTGTGATGGTGGTCGAGCTGTTGGTGCTGGTGGACCATGGCGACCACTTTTCCTTGTCACGGACGCATTCACATTCAAAACACCTCGGATAAGGCGAGCACTCGCTCAACGCGACCGACGACCACCCACTCGCGACCGCGTTGCACAGTGCTAGTCATGTAAATGTACGCATTGCATGGTGCGCAGGGGCGTAGCACCCGCTACGACTGGTACGACCATGGCCGTACCACTTTTCGAAAAGTGTGGTCCGTCCGGAATGTGCAAAACGGTAATAAAAAAAATCAGGATCCATCGATATGCATATGCGCATCAGACTTTGACCTTTTTCTAGACTCGCACTCGTCGTAGATCTGTTATGCATCTGCAGTCGTACTGAGTACTGTAATACCAAGAGTACATAACCCCCCCCCCCCCCCCCGGGGGGTTATGTACTCTTGGTAATACTCGACTGCACAGTATAGTACACTGCACTGCGCCAGAAGTGTGCCAGATTTTCCCAGAAAGCAGGATTTTGTGTCTTTTTTACAAAATTTTCCTGGGGGAGGTCCGCCGGACCCCCCTCCAACACGGCCTTCGGCCGCACCCACCTTCGGTCGTATCACTTCCAAAACCCCTCCTGCGCCCCTGGTGCACCAGCAAGAGTACATAACCATAATGATAACCCCCCTTTGGTATTATGTACTCTTGGCACCAGGCATGGTAGATCTACACATCACAGACGTATTACAGTTAGATGGGACTTTGCTCTGGGCATGGAAAGTCTGTCGTTATTCGCGAATTGTCGTTATATCCGCAGTCGTTATTAGCGAAGCTGACTGGAGTGCAGTACATGTAACAGTCGTTACCATGGTTACATCACGTGTCAAGACTATTTTTACGGTATGTAGTACTAGAATCCATACATCCTGTACACACACCTTGTACACACTCTCTCTAACGGTCTCTAGGCTACACTGCAATTGATATACATTAGATCAAATTTTCGGGCAAGGCCCATCATCAGGAATAAGTCTACTGTAGACAAAACAGGGCTTTATATAATTATATATGACAAGTACTAGTGGCCAAAGGTGTGATGGTATAGCGTAAAATGTTGCAATACCACAGGAAGCGAGATTATTATTCTGTGTGATATGTATGAAGTGAAAATATAGTGCAGTGATAGTGCAGGATTACTAATGTGATTACAAAGCAGAAAAATACACACTTCTAGCAACACACACACACACACACACACACACACACACACACACACACACACACACACACACACACACACACACACCACACACGCACACACCTGGTCCTGGTCCTGGTATACACTGCCATGTAGGTCACGTGTTTCTCGTTGAGCGAGACGGAGACGAGAGGAGACATGAGCGTTGGTGACGGGATAAGTCGTTTCGCCTTTTGAAAACGCCTCCGGCAATTCTGACATTGCAATTGGAACTTGTCCCTTTCATCAGCAGTTGGGCGCCTGGTGGATCGGTTGCAGTTGTGGATAGCAAAGCCCCGGATCGACTTACAGCAGCGTTCACAAATGGGACAGTGAGCGGTACAGCACGGTTTCCGAATACATAGGCGTACAGGTGAAGAGCTTGTGGCATTGGCAACATTCGGGGCAGAATTGGACTGGACACAGCGATGGACTGCAATGCCACCCGCACTCCGAAACCATCGGTGACACTGGGAGCACTGGCGGCTGTTGGCTTGCTGCTGGACTGGTTTACGCACACACACACACACACACACACACGCACACACACACACACACACCACACACGCACACACACGCACACACACACACACACACACACACACATACACAGTGCACAAATTCTTGCACAAATTATGACAGATATATTTACACATCACCCAACAGTCGCCAACCATTGTCACTGTTCACTGCCGGCTTCCTCTTCCTCATGAATAGTGCCTCCATGATTCTGCGGTCAACGTAAGACCGTTGCTTGCTGGCGAGAACTTGTAGATGGGAAAATGGCGAGAACTGCGGTGACGATGGGAAGGTGTGCTGCTTTTGTCGATAATGGTCTCCCCATGGCTTTCCCAATGTCGCGTTCTTGGCTTGTCTGTAGTGCTCCTCAGTCCTCTTGCGTGTTGTCCTTTCTGTTTCCCCGACGTATTCTTCTTGACAGATGGTACATTTCATAGAGTACACCACATCTTGGGACATACAAACATTACGCTTCAGACCACCATCGCATGCACGACATTCAGCCGGCCGACCCCGCCCCCTCTTCTCCCTCTGCCGCTGTACCGTCCTGGGGCATTGTGGCTTGCTGAATGACGACGAGACCAACATATCCTTTAGTGAGCGACCGGACGTAAAGACCACACGCACATCTCTATCAAACGACCTGACCACTTGACGAACCCTCCTTGCAAGCTGGTCATTTACGTACGGTACCTTGACAAGTGACGTGTACTGTCGTTTCCCCTTCCGATGTGGTGTCTGCTGGCTCTCCAAACCTTGAGAGCCATGTAGTACTAGTAGAATATATCAGCTTAGAGAGCGTGTGTGGGCAGGCGTGTGTTTACCGCCATATTGCCAGGTGTGTCTTTACCACCATATTTATCAACCATAAGTAGAATAAGTAGTAGAATTGAGTACATGTAGTAGAATTTATTATTTTGATAGGGAAGGCCCTACAGACGTTGCCCTCTTGTTACACTTACAGGGAACCCTAAGTGCTCTTTACAATGTACAGGAAAACCTGTCAAGGCGACCACTCGGATAAGGCGACCACCTGTCCTAAAAGGCCACTAAAACCAGGGCCAAGGGATGCTATTTCCAGTCCGGCAATGACCCTGGATAAGGAGACCACCTGGTAACAGAGACCACGTTTTGAAAGTCCCTTGAGCAGTGGTCGTCTTAGACAGGTTTTACTGTACATGATTGTACTATCCGGTATACTGGCGGTAGAGCTAGCTGAGTACAACTTATATTTTCCTGTCTGACTACACAACAGTCAGTACTCGCACACGTACCGGTACTTCGTGAATCGTGTCGTGGCGGCTGAGTATGAACTATGATGCTTCATCGTCGACCCTAGACTAGGCCTTTCCGGATTATGTGTTTGCATATTTTTGCATTTTGGGGGTCAAAATGCATTTTGTCCATTTTGACCCACTTTGGGCCAGGGAGTCGTAAAATACCGGTATTTTACGACTCCCTGCAAGCGATAGGTACTTCACGACAGGGAGTAGTACAATACCAGGTATAGGGCTTGAAAGTGATGACGTCAAAACGGCCAGGGAGTAGTAAGTTGACATCAGATTTCTATTTTTGGATCCACTAAGGTGTGACTTTGCTATTGCCTAAGTATGTGGGTGCATAGCAACCCACTCATGTCGCATGCAGGTGTGACTTTTATTTCGCCACCAGTTGTAACCCCGCCCCCAGTAGCCAAATCAGTCAGTTTCACTGGCTACATCACCATGCTGTGGGTAAGACCAAGAGTACATTATAGCAATAGGGCTTGAAAGTGATGACGTCAAAACGGCCAGGGAGTAGTAAGTTGACATCAGATTTCTATTTTTGGATCCACTAAGGTGTGACTTTGCTATTGCCTAAGTATGTGGGTGCATAGCAACCCACTCATGTCGCATGCAGGTGTGACTTTTATTTCGCCACCAGTTGTAACCCCGCCCCCAGTAGCCAAATCAGTCAGTTTCACTGGTTACATCACCTTGCTGAGAGTAAGACGGCTTGAAATGTGCTTGGATCCATACAAAAACTGGATCCAAGTGGATCCAATTTTTGAATTTTTGAAATTGTTGCTATGCTGTGACGTAGCACTTTCAAGCCCTATAAAAACTGCTTTATGGCAGTTTTCTAAAAAAAGTTATTGTGTTCTAGTCCATGGACCCCGTCTAAAAAGTAAGAAATTAACGAAATGTGATAGCCGAAAATTAAAATTTCACACAAAACCTCACAATAATCACGACACTTGAAGATCCTATAGTACGGCACTTGTTTATTCCGACACTTGTACTTGTACAAGTACATGGACTGCGCCAACATGCTTGCATGTGAAAGAGGACCACGAGGGGAAAAGGTCGTCTCGCATCCTGTGTGTGATTATTGTGAGGTTTTGTGTGAAATTTTAATTTTCGGCTATCACATTTCGTTAATTTCTTACTTTTTAGACGGGGTCCATGGACTAGAACACAATAACTTTTTTTAGAAAACTGCCATAAAGCAGTTTTTATTGCTATAATTTCTTTTGTTTTTTTGGCTCAAGGATATTATTATTATTATTATTTTATTTATTTTACTAGGGTGTTTCCCACAGACCTATGGTCTTCTTACGGGAGCCCCTATG